TGAGAGCAGCACCCTCTGTCTTACCTTGGAGAGCTCATCTATGATGTTTTGCTGCTCAATCACTTGYAGCCTCAGGAAATCCACTTCTCTCTCTTCCTGGCTGTGGTCGAGGTCATTTAAGGAGCTTGGTCTCCTTATGGCTCCAGTTCTTTGCCTCTGGAACCCAAAAAGCAGGGGGCAGAGGAGGGGAATGATCAGGAGGCTTTGCCCAGGATTGTCCAGCCCTTCCCTTCCCTTCCCAGTGGTGCATTCTCTAGTGCTGTCCTCAGCTCTCCTCCTCCCTTTGCTGAGCCTCACATTTGGGCTCCAAACATGCCAGAGGGTCCTGCTCCTCCAGGAAAAGGGACAGTCCCAAGTGCACAGTGCCAGGGATTAYGGGGTGATGCTGGCAGCAAAGTTGAAGGTGAATCACAGAATCACAGATCAGTTTGGGGTGGAAGGGACCTTGACAGAATGGAGCAGTTTCCTGTGGAAGCTGCAATTTGAGCCGATGCCTGAGTCCCTGAGCCCCACCAGCCCCAAACCCCACCATCCCCAGGACAAGGACACTCACCATGGCGATATTCTCCTGTGTCACAAACTTCAATTTATTTTCCATTCGACGTAAGGCATGTGACAACTCCTCATTCTTCCTACTGAGGCGTTTGTTTTTGTCCAAGATGGGCTTATACTGACTTTCTGCTTCTCTGAGGCGTTTCAACTGAAAGGTAAAGAGAAAATTAACACCTCTAGAGCTTTTTCATCAAATGCATTAACTATTTTCTTTAACTAAGACACAAGCAGCATTTTGTCCTGAAGCAAAGCAGGGCTGATCAAAAACACTTGGGATTTTCTGCTGGGAGGAGAACATTCCTACTTGATGAGATATTCTACCTGTGCAGCAAACAYTCAATGTGGGGAATGTATTTATTTTTWAAAAKAAATAMAAATAAYTYMAGCTAATGCCATTTTAAAASTCYRTTGCTGAACAAGMCAGGAGGGGAGCGAGGTGGTYCAGCCCCAAACAYAGAGCTRGGGASGAGGYAGYCCCTGCTCCAGGGTTTCAAACAGCTCAGGGGAAAATGTCAGGGTGTTTGTGGGACAAGGCAGCCTGTCCCTAAGCCCTCACCATCCCTGTGSCCTCACCAGCTCGTTCCTCTCCTCYGACAGCAGCGCGTTCCTGTCCTCCAGCTTCCGGATGATCCCGCTCAGCTCCGCGATTTTCAGCTGGAAGCGCCGGGCATCCTTTTCATCCAACTGCTGTTCCTAAAACAAAGATCAACTGCAAATAACTGTTCATAAGTGTACACGCAAGAAAGAGCACGTTGTCAAAGCTCTAACCTTTCCTTATCCCAAATCCAAACATTTTAAAATGTGATCGGGTGGAGTGTAACCCAYGGAACCCAACCGACCATGGAAAGCTGCAGGATGAGACCAACAGCAAGTCAGGAGTGGAAATGTAACAAAGAATGCAAATGCAGAGGTATACATATGCATATATATATATATATTTATGTATATGCATATGCAAATACAAAGTCACAAATGGTAAACTCGGAAACAGAACAGAAAATGTCAGAACTGAAGGCCGTGTTCCAATGATGCCACTGTTGAACTGAGAGCTTCAGACACATCGCCCTCTCTGAGGACTCRTTCTTAAGAAACTGATATTAAAATTACTGAATTACTGAATGGGGAAAATCCATGCACTYGTGCCACTGAATAAGCTCTTCTTCCACAAAGCTGTGGCCCTTATGGGGTCCTAAAGGGTCACTGGTAAGGCCACAGGGCAGCACTTTATCTGAGTGAAAATACTTAAATCAAATTAGAAACGAATAGAGATAGACRTGTTCTCACTCAGAATCAGAGAGCAGCTACTGACAAACGTGACAGACTTTCCCCCTTCTCTGTGACTTGTTCTGGTCTTTTGCAGAGGTTGAGTACAACTAGAAAGGCAAATTAATGCCCACAGTGCTGGTGGCACTTTTGGGACGTCTAGGGTTCCTCATTCAACAGGTGCAGGAGAGGCTTGGGCCACAGAATAAAATAGATTGGTTTGCTCACCAAAGTGTATAAATTTTACACTTGTACTGAGACAATCAAGGCTGTCGCAAAAGAAATCTTGATGAGGATCAGCAATGAGGACGCCTTGCACATGTCAGAGGCACGAGGGCAGTTACCCGAGGGGTTTTCTGGGCAAAGGGAGGCCAAAGCAGGGAAGTGCCAGAATTACAGAAAAAGCCACTGTGGAGGGGTGACTCAGATCGAATGTTCTGGATATTAAAAGAACAAACAGGAGAGAACACGTTAGGATGCCTTTTGGTCACTTTGTGCCCTGCTGATGGTGAGGGCACGGAGCAGAGGGCAGAGTGGTGCCCTGGGAGGGTGCAGGGTTAGGGTTAGGGTTTCTGTTCTGCCCTGCACCCCCTTTCTGCCCCATTYCCTCTGGAACTGGCCTCGTGCATCTGCTCCCCAAGCCCCAGCTCGCCCTCGAGAGCTCGCACACAAACAGCACTGGGTGAGAAATGCATTTGCATCGTTTGTTGGCAGAATCGTGTCAAACTGGCAAACTAAGGCGGGTGCTGACATGGTACAGAGAGGAGAAAGGAGAGAAAGAACAGCAGAATTTCACCTTGCTGACAAAACCAAACCAAACCAAACCGAGCGGGAAACAAAACGACAGAAAGCAAAAGCTCTCCCATGGCGAGGTTTGATGGCAAATCTCAATGTTTTGGGTGTGACAAAAACGAGAGCGAGGAGCGGGTGCCTCGGGGCCCCTGCACAGCCATGGGACAGCTTTTGCTGCAGGGTGCACTCATCAAGATTCTGTCACTCGGTGCCATTTGGTCGCTCGTTCAGGTGAAACCACGTGAAAGTGCTTACGGGGCTTCCCGAATGATCTGAAGCGTCTCCTGCACCACTTGCATAAGGAAGTTCCCGCTTGGGGCTGCTCAGATGGCGGTCAGACTCTTTGAGCTGGGACAGTTGTTCATCTAAAGCCTCCTTTTGGAGCTGCAGTCTCTGAGCATGCCCGGCTCGCACCCCTAACTCTCTCTCCAGCACGAAGACTGCTCTGTCCTTAAACTTAATCTCCTCCATCTACAAGGAGAACAGAACACAATCACACAGGCGGCAGCGGCGGCTCGGCGGCACCCGGAGTGACCCAGGGCGGCAGAGGGACAGGGACATCGGGATGGGGACAGCGACACCGGGATGGGGACAGCGACACCGGGCTGGGACAGGGACCATTGGGATGGGGACAGAGACATCAGGATGGGACAGCACCCGGAGCGCCCCAGGGCGACAGAGGGACAGGGACACCGGGCTGGAGACAGGGACACCAGGATGGGGACAGAGACATTGGGATGGAGACAGAGACATTGGGATGGGACAGGGACACCGGGATGGGGACAGGGACATCAGGATGGGACAGGGACACCGGGATGGGACAGAGACATTGGGATGGGACAGGGACATCGGGATGGGACAGCGACATCGGGATGGGGACAGGGACACCGGGATGGGGACAGAGACATTGGGATGGGACAGGGACACCGGGATGGGGACAGGGACACCGGGCTGGGACAGGGACACCGGGATGGGACAGGGACACCGGGATGGGACAGAGACATCAGGATGGGGACAGAGACATCGGGATGGGGACAGCAACATCGGGCTGGGACAGGGACATCGGGATGGGGACAGGGACATTGGGATGGGACAGGGACATCGGGCTGGGACAGGGACCATTGGGATGGGGACAGAGACATTGGGATGGGACAGAGACATTGGGATGGGACAATACCCGGAGCGCCCCAGGGCGGCAGAGGGACAGGGACATCGGGATGGGGACAGGGACACCGGGATGGGACAGGGACACCGGGATGGGGTCAGGGACATCGGGCTGGGACAGGGACATCAGGATGGGGACAGAGACATCAGGATGGGGACAGGGACACCAGGATGGGACAGAGACATTGGGATGGAGACAGAGACATCGGCATGGGACAGGGACATCGGGATGGGACAGCACCCGGAGCGCCCCAGGGCGACAGAGGGACAGTGACACTGGGCTGGGACAGGGACATCGGGATGGGACAGCGACATTGGGATGGGGGCAGCCACATCGGGATGGGGACAGCAACATCGGGATGGGGACAGCACCCGGAGCGCCCCAGGGGCACACAGGGACAGCGACACCGGGCTGGGGACAGAGACACCGGGATGGGACAGGGACATCGGGCTGAGACAGCGCCCAGAGCGCCCCACGGCCAGAGAGGGACATCGACATCGGGCTGGGGACAGGGACCATTGGGCTGCGACAGTGACATCGGTTGTGACAGCCACATCGGGATGGGGACAGCAACATCGGGATGGGGACAGCACCCAGAGCGCCCCAGGGCGACAGAGGGACAGCGACATCGGGATGGGGACAGGGACACCGGGCTGGGGACAGGGACCATTGGGCTGCGACAGTGACATCGGTTGTGACAGCCACATCGGGATGGGACAGCACCCGGAGCACCCCACGGCCACAGCGCCGCTCCCCTGCCACCACAGCCCGGACAGGGACAGCGACATCGGGCTGTGACACCTCAGCGGTGCCGCCCTTCCCCCGGGGCCACGCAGCACCAAATCCCTCCTTCAGCAGGAATTCTGTCATTGGAACATTTGGGAAATAGCCCATCATCTTATCACCGTTTCAGAATATCTTTAAAAAAAATTAAAAGTTGACATTCAAATCACAATTTAATTGGTTCACTCACTTTGCTTGGATGTCACCTTTGGAAAATTTGGATTAATACTTTTTAAAGAAAAACCTCAATAGCCTTTAAATTCTTTTCAATCCTTTTCAAAATATTTTTCAAAATTCCTAGAAGTAATGTGAATTTTTAAAAGTCTTTTTTCCAAAAGTGTCCCATGTGAACAATTTCATTATTCCTTTTCCATGAGGTTTTACTTATACATAATAAACATTGTGAAAAACCAGAAATTCAAGGTTTTTGGCATCCCTTTTTGAGACTTTAGATATTTCATTTCAATGATCAGTTTTTAAACCTGGCCTGCTTGAAATAAGAACATTTTGCCTTGTAAGAGCTGTGTTAATAATTTTATCTCTGCTTTGTCTGTAAACCTGGAAAAAAAATGACATCGGGAATCAAGAGTCGCTCCAAGGACTTTGTTTGCAGTAAATGCCAGGGTGGCTCACTCAGGGCAGGTGCTGGCAGGGCACACAGGGATCAGAAAAGCAAAATGGAGCAAATGAAAGGAATTTTGAGTGCCATTGAGTACAGATCCTCACAGCAATGTCCATGAAGGCAGCGTGTGCTGACTTTGAATGAAACAAAGACAGAGATGCTCCGGAGCACCTGAGGTCTTTCTGCCAAATGCCTAATGAGGAGACATCTAAATGGATGTGCAGATGAAAAGGTAACACATCACCAAATGATTATTGGTTTAAAATAAGCAGAATATTGGGCAGTGGATTCCTATTTATATGGAAACAAAGACACGTTACAACAAAGGCAACACATGAAATTGGGAGGAACAAAGAAAAGAGAAAAACACAAAACATTTCACAGCATTTCGCTAATGGTTTGTTTTCCAGAAAAAAAAAAAAAATAATAATCCTTAAACATAATCTTCATAAGCCACAAGGAAACACGAGCAAAACTGAAAAACTGACATTTTCCTTCAGCTGCCTGAATTCCCACACATGAACCATGCACAGCAGTTTGGTGTCTGCAGCTCGCTGTGGAACAGCACGAACGGGAGGGAGCATCTCTGGGAGAATGTCCCCGAGCACACCAAGGCAAGGAAGGAAGGAAAAGGGAAGGAAAGGAAGGAAAAGGGAAGGAAAGGAAGGAAAAGGGAAGGAAAGGAAGGAAAAGGGAAGGAAAGGAAGGAAAAGGGAAGGGAAGGAAAGGAAGGAAGGCAGAGCCCAGGGTCCCAGAAGTCCCGGGCAGCGCTGGGGTCGGTGGGCACGGAGCCCCCGGGCAGGACCAGCCCTGATCCCCGCTCCCCGCTCCGCCCTGCCCGGCTCCAGCATCCACCCACCTGCAAACACCCGATCTGCCGCTCGCTGCCATTCCGCCCGGGATGAATATTGATGTGCTGCTGGTTCAGAACCAGCCCCCGAGCTCAGCAGGTGCCAATGACAGCAGCACCAGCGCAGCACGGGGAGATGCTCCGCTCCTCCTGCGCTCCCCGGCTCCCGGGAGCTGCTGCTTTGAGCCGGGATTTGTTCAAAGTTATCATTTCCAGCCCTAGTGCAGGGTCCTGGCTGGGAAAGCTCTCCCTGCGCTGTTCTTTTGCAGATGGACAGCTGCTGTCAGAAATGGCTTTTGAAGCTGCCAGAGCCTGCGATCAAAGGTGGGGCACAGCCCTGCCCGGGGCAGCATCGCATTCCCCACGCTCAGAGATGGAATTAAAACACCCTGTCCCAGCCTGGAGGGAYTGCCAGGGTGCTGTGAGGTGCCCGGGTGACAGGAGATGGGCCCTGGGCTGTGACACCCYGAGAGAGGGCTTTGGGCACCGGGGGCACAGGGGACACAGGTCCTGCTCATTCATCCTCCCTCTCCAGGGACAAACCCCACTGCTCCCTGTCCTGGGGCTGCTGGCACTCAGAGCAGCCCCAGATTGCCTCAGAATCCCGGAATCCTGGAAGGTTTGGGCTGGGAGCTGATCTGGGTCCATCCCCAGTGTAACACCCAGTGCCACGTGTGAATGCCATGAATTTAGCACGGGTGTCCCAGAGCTTCTGCTGGARACAGAGACACACACCCAGTGCCAGCAGCCTCCAAACACCCCCAGAGACCCCCAGGCCCAGCCCAAGCCCTGTGTGAGCTGTGCTGCAGCACAACAACAACGTGGTTACAGCCCAGAAAATAATAACTCCTTGTTTAGGTCCATAGATAAAAATGTTTTTAAAACCTGGCCTGTGAGACACCAAAGGAATCACTCAGAACAGGAGGATTCCTGACCCTCCTAAGTGTAGGAGGGATGTTGTCTGGCTTTTATAACAAGAAAATCCTTCAGCCCAGGTTCTGGTGTTGTAAATAACGTTGTAAATGAGGGTCAAATCACAAATGACCAATAAATCCACAGGGGGAAGAAGGAACCGTTCACCTTGAATGCATCTCCACCCTTCAGGTGCTGAGCCACCTCTGTAATCCCAAACAGGAGGATTTCTCACCACACMAGGGAATCAAAAGGAGAAGATAGAGACTAAATCAATCACTAATAAAATTAATACTTAAAAATTCCTCTTCCTACCCTTCATCTGACCCCACCCTTTACATCAGATATTTTCACTGATTTACCACTGTCTGGCAGAGAGCTCAGGGTCTGTGAGAATGCAGAGGTTCAGAATGAAGCTCAAAACCTCCATCCTGTTTGGGTGCAGGGTGGCACTGCCATGAGGAAGCTGTGAAGCTCTCAAAGTCCAGTGCTATTACAGAGGTTTTGTCACAGGTTATCAAAGCTTTTGGTATTCATAATCAACTCAAGTTTCTCTGGATTGAAAAGAACCACTCCCCAGGCTCTAATAAATCTCATTTCCTCAKTTTTTCTGATTTCTCAGTCACCTGACAAAAGAGATGGGAGTGAGGAGCCTGCAGTGGCCATGGCTGGGCAGAGCTTCTCCTTCCTGACCAACCTGGAGTCAATCACAATTTAAATGCTCTTTAGCACATKGAATTTTGGTCCCCACTCAGCAAATTTCAAGGCCATTTAAGCTGGGGGAACACTCCTGGCTATGCCCACCCCAACCAGGGAGTGCTCCTGCCACACAAATGTAATTAAACACAGCCGTGCACTATTTCAAGGTGCTTTAAAATGCACAAATTGGAATTTAAAAAGGGTTGGCTAAAATTACAAATGCCGAAGGAGGCATTGCTGCTCGTGCTCGTTGCCATCTGCAGGAATTTCATCTCTGCAGTGCCCTCGGAGGGCTCTGAGCAGGGACAGCTCAGCTGGGTCAGTCCCACGTCTGGGGAGTGTCACAGACACAAACACAGTGTGCCAAATGTCACCCGGGCTGGAACAGCCTGAGTCACACAGAAAACACACAATTCCTGTTTCCTGAGGGGAAACGCTCAGCCCTGCTCCATGGGAATGGGCTGAACCTCTGGAACACACCTGGAAACTGCAGGGCAGAGCTGGGGGTGCTTTGGGAAATCACAGAATCACAAATCATCAAATCCCAGCAGTGCCTGTCCCCACCGTGTCCCTGAGTGCCACCTCCAGGAATTCCTGGGGCTCCTCCAGGGATGGGCACTGCAAACCTCCCTGGGCAGCTCTGCCAATCCTGACACCCTTTCCATGGGGAAATTCCTGCTGCTGTCCAAACTGACCCTGCCCTGGCACAATCTGAGGCCATTCCCTCTCATCCTGGCACAATTTGAGGCCATTATTCCCTCTCATCCTGGCACAATTTGAGGCCATTCCCTCTCATCCTGGCACAATCTGAGGCCATTCCCTCTCATCCTGGTACAATCTGAGGCTGTTCCCTCTCATCCTGGTACAATTTTAGGCTGTTCCCTCTCATCCTGTCACAATCTGAGGCCATTCCCTCTCATCCTGGCACAATTTTAGGCCATTCCCTCTCATCCTGGCACAATCTGAGGCCATTCCCTCTCATCCTGGTACAATCTGAGGCTGTTCCCTCTCATCCTGGTACAATTTTAGGCTGTTCCCTCTCATCCTGTCACAATCTGAGGCCATTCCCTCTCATCCTGGCACAATCTGCAGTCAATGCAGGCACATCAAACACCCCAAAGCTGTGTCAGTGAACCCCAATTCTGTTACCATTCTCTCCCCCAAACATCAGGGCTGTCCCCAGACGGTGCCAGGAGCCACCAGCTCCACTGAAATAACTGATGGTGGAATGTGGAGCTGGCAGTGCTTGACCCCACCCAGCAGGGCTTGGCACAACCATGGCATCAGGAAATTTCACTGGTTCTTTCAAGCAGCAACTTAAACAAACTTTGATTTCCAAAGGCAATTTAGAAAACATCCTGTCAAGCCATTCTATCCCTTATAACTAAGACCGTATTTATTTTACAGTTCCCACATTAAAGGCCATTAGTGGGACTTCCCACGTGATGCAGAAGTTTATTTAGGGTGCCCATTAGCCCCATTCACTGTGATGCATGAAATCAATGCCCCAGTGATGCAATCAGAGAAAGTACTTACACTGCAGGATATTGGAACAGCATCAATAGATCAGTTGGTTATAAATTGTTTTAATATCCTCTTCATAAAAATAAAATGACTGTAAGGAAACCTTAACAGCCTAAAGTCAGAGAGAAGAGGTGGCTGAATAAAGGCAGGGGACACCCCATTGCAGTGTCCTGGGCTGTCAGAGCTCAGGTGATGCTGGAGCTGAGGATCTGCAGGTGTTCTCTGCACCATGGGCACACTGTCTGCCTTTGATTTGAAAGCCCTGTAAGCTTTTTGAAGCATTTTGAAGTATTTTTCAGCATTTGGATAATAGCTAAGGGCTGATGATTTAGAAGAGCCCTGGATGGGTTTGTAGCAGGACAYGGAGTGCTGTAAAGCAGCATGGCAAACACAAAACGATGGTGACATCACAAAAATGGACACAAGACCCAAACACACACCACGGGAGCACGAGGGTGTCCCCACATCCTTGGGAACAGCAGCAGCTCAGGGATGTGCTCCTGAGGGCAGGGAGGCTCGGGGAGAGCAGCAGACAATAACCCCTGAGCCCTCAAGGCTTAGGCCCACAGGTTTAGTTCAGGTTTACTGTTTCCCCTTTTCCAAACACTGGGATCTGTTCCAGCCTCCCCACACACACAGGAGGAAAGCTCCAAAGGCACAGGGGTGAAGCTCTTGGAGCTGCTGAGGCTCAGATGTTGGATAGGGGAGGGCAGCTGAGCAGCACAAAGGAGCTCTGAGGAGCATGAGCAGGGCCAGGAGATCCCAAACACTGCTCAGGGGAATCTGTGGGGTCTGGTAATGGGGCCACCAGAACAGCCCYGTCCTGGGGAAAACCACCTGGGGATGGAGAGGAATTGCCCTGAACACCCTGCTGGGTGTGTAGGACTCAGTGGGGCAGAAAAAGAGCATTTGGGATTGTGAAAGCCTCACTATGGGATGTTTGTGGTAATTAGCAAAGGGACAGGGACAGGGAGGGACCAAGGTGGATCAGGAAGGAAATAGAGGCAGAACCCCAGAAACAATCCCTGTAGCATTCCCCTGAGCAGCCAGGASCCTGAGAGCCTTCCTGATACCTTTAACGTGAACCACATCAACAACTCTGACACGGAGAAAGAAGTTTCTTCCAAAACATCCTAATACTGTTAAAAACCAGTTAAAAACCCGTCCCTAGTAAATGTAAACCAGCCCTGGAGCAGGCTGCAGTGCTCAACAGCCATGCTCACACACTCAGTGAGCCCAGCACTGATCATTTCCTGGTGATAAATTCCAAAGCAGAGAGCGACACGTACCAGCCTGCGGATTTCCCTCTCGCACTCCCTCTTGATCCTGGTGATCTCCTCCTGGTGCAGGTGGTACACACTCCTGATCTCTGCAGCTTTGATTTTGTCAGCCTGGATGACCATGGTGAGAGCCTCCTCCACTTGTTTCTTAGCCCCCTTCAGCTCGGAAATTTCCTGCTGCATTTTGATTTTCTCCACCTCAAAGCCCTTCTTGGCCTCCTCCTTGGCCTCGCTGAGCAGCACCGTTTTCACCTTGTCGGGGGCCCCGTCCCGCAYGGCGTTGAGCAGGGTTTGCAGTCTCTGGATTTCATTATCTTTAATTTTAATYACTCTGAGCAGTTCAGCTTCGTGCTGTCTCAGAAGTGTTTCTCGAACAGCTTGGAGCTCTTTCATTTTGTCTTCGTGAAGTTTGACTTTGAGCTCRGTGACTACCACGGTACTTTTATGCTGTTCGTGCTCCTTGATCTGCTTCACTTCCTGATTTTTCTCCCTTTCCAACTTGCTGACCTGTAAGGAAAATCAAAAAGTATAATGTTTTCAATCAACCAACTAATTAATACGTATCATGATATTTAAAAATGGTACAGGTGACTTTACAGTGTTACACCCCAATGCTCTGTGTCTGTGTCTACAATTGGTGGTAGCAAAGAACTTTTTTTTTACTGCAGACTCACGTTTAATGCACATTTAGAAATCAGCCAGTATCTTGTGAGTCCTGACTTTATTCTGCAGAAGCTCTCACAGCACATTCCCCCCCAAAAATGGGGAAAATCAGGTGCCAAGGCATCCCTTTGGCACAAACCAAGACACAAAAATCTCTGTGCAAGCTCCTGYGATGCCCAAACAGCTGCATTTTACCAGATGCTTTTTAAGCAATGAATTATTCAGCAGAAATAACTGACTGTACCTGACCACAAAAGGCTCAAATGATGTTTCAATTTAAAATCAGGAATAAACTCTAGAGAAGGCACGGCCAGAAGTGGCTGTGAAGGACAGGGAGAAGGAAAACCAAGTCCTCAGACTTAAAACTGCAAATGCTGCTTCACAGCAAAAGGATTCACAGAGGTTCTATTTATATATGTGTGTGTGTGCTGGATTCATACTCTAAAATGTTTAACAATTATGCAAATTCATTGGAAAATGCAGAGTATCATTTTGTCCCTGCATGGTAACGTGTTTCTATTCTGGAACCAAAAAAACCCCAAAGTTTCACAGTAGAAAATGGTTTGGGGAATTAGGGAAAAGCAGGTAAATGTTCTGTGATCTTGCTGAGATTGGAGGGGAAGAGCTGGAGGCGCTCAGAGCTGAGGCTCAGCCCCAGCAGCCCCAAGGCTCTGGGAGAAGCTGTGTCTCCTCTCCTCAGAATTTGGGAACCAGCACAGGAGGCAGAAATGAGATCTGGTATCGTACGTGTGGGTAAGTTTGAAGGAGCTCAAAATCCCAATGAAATTAGTGCAAAAAGGAAAGAGAAGAATCAGCAAAGAGAACTCTGGCATTTCTGAACGTTCTGAATCCCAGCACGTTGCACTCGAGGGAAGGGGAGCTGCCCACCTTACTCTTCTCCTGCTGGAGCTCGATCTGGATGTCGGTGAGCTTGGCCCTGAGCTCCTCGTTGGCAGCCTGCAGGGCAGCCAGGGCGTCGGGTTTGTCCCCCCTGGCCCKGCTGCTGGAGCYCCTCTTGGCCATGGTGGCCACGCAGGAGGGCCCCGGCCCCGCTGGCTCTGGCTGTTCTGTGCAGCTCTACATCTTCTGGGGCCTGCAGGGACAGAGCAGGGACAGGGACATCAGTGGGGTCACAAAACAGGGGACAGGGACATCAGTGGGGTCACAGAGCAGGGGACAGGGACATCAGTGGGGTCACAGAGCAGGGACAGGGACATCAGTGGGGTCACAAAACAGGGCACAGGGGCCATCAGTGGGGTCACAGAGCAGGGCACAGAGCAGGGCACAGTGGGGTCACAGAGCAGGGCACAGCGTGGGCACAGAGCAGGGCACAGAGCAGGGCACAGTGGGGTCACAGAGCAGGGCACAGCGTGGGCACAGAGCAGGGCACAGAGCAGGGCACAGTGGGGTCACAGAGCAGGGCACAGCGTGGGCACAGAGCAGGGCACAGAGCAGGGCACAGTGGGGTCACAGCAGGGACATCAGTGGGGTCACAGAGCAGGGACAGGGACATCAGTGGGGTCACAAAACAGGGCACAGGGACATCAGTGGGGTCACAGAGCAGGGACAGGGACATCAGTGGGGTCACAAAACAGGGCACAGGGACATCAGTGGGGTCACAGAGCAGGGCACAGGGGGGTCACAGAGCAGGGTACAGGGCCATCAGTGGGGTCACAAAACAGGGGACAGGGCCATCAGTGGGGTCACAGAGCAGGGCACAGGGGTCACAGAGCAGGGTACAGCACCATCAGTGGGGTCACACCGCACCCTGTCACTCATCCCAGGGCACGGGGCACGGGGCAGAGCCCAAGGGCTGCATTCCCTGCATTCCCTGTTTTAGTGTGGGATCACAGCTTTGCTCTGGTTGGGAAAGTGCTCTGAGACCACGGGCTCCAACATCCCCAGCACCGCCACGGCCACCACYGACCCTGTCCCCAAGTGCCACATCCCCACAGCTGTGAAATCCCTGAGGGATGGGGACTCACCTCTGCCCTGAGAGCCGTGCCAGGGCTGTGGGATATTGGTTGGATATTTTACCCGATATCCAACCTGAATCTCCTGTGATGCAGCCGTTCCCTCTGCTCCTGTCCCCGTTCCCTGGGAACAAACCCCGACCCCCCTGGATGCCCCTTCCTGGCAGGGAGGGTCCCATCCCTTCATCTGCACTGGGATCCACAGAGGATCGGGAAATCACACGGGATCGGGAAATCACACAGTGAGGAGATGGGGAAATCATACAGGATCGGGAATTCACACAGAATCGGGAATTCACACAGTGAGGAGATGGGGAAATCACACAGGGCAGGGATCGGGAATTCACACAGGATCGGGAATTCCTCAGTGAGGAGATGGGGAAATCATACAGGATCGGGAATTCACACAGAATCGGGAATGGGGAATTCACACAGGATCGGGAATTCACACAGTGAGGAGATGGGGAAATTACACAGTGCAGGGGATCGGGAAATCACACAGGATCAGGAATTCACACAGAATCGGGAATTCCCACAGTGAGGAGATGGGGAAATCACACAGTGCAGGGATGGGGAATTCACAAAGGATCAGGAATGGGAAATTCATACAGGACCGGGAATTTACAGAGGATCGGGAATTCACACAGTGAGGGGATGGGGAAATCACACAGTGCAGGGATTGGGAATTCACGCAGGATCAGGAATGAGGAATTCATACAGGATCGGGAATTCACACAGGATGAGGAATTCACACAGTTCAGGGGATCGGGAATTCACACAAGATGGAATTCAGACAGGATCAGGAATTCCCACAGTGAGGGGATGGGGAATTCACATGGGATTAGAAATTCCCACAGTTCAGGGGATCGGGAATTCACACAGTGCAGTGGATTGGGAATTCACAGTTCAGGGGATGGGGACATTCAGCAGGGACATCCACACACCCGTCCCCAACACTCTCACAGCTTTGGAGACAGCAACCCCTGGGAAAACTATTTTCACAGAATCACAGAATCATGGAATCCCAGGACGGTTATACTACAAAATTCCACTAAAAAGGACACCAATTTGGGAAAAATATTTCCAACCTTTTTAATACTAAAGCTGTTAATGTGGGTAACAATGTTCTTGGCTGATGACTTTCAGTGGCTCGGTTTGTCCCTCATGACTCGGCCAAAGCACAGCGGAGCAGAGCCCTGTCCGGACAGGGATGGGGCTCAACGGGGCAGGGCAGCTGCAAGGRGAGAGAAACAATCAWTAACAGCASMAAAACAGCAGCAAAAACACCTCCACAACAGCAGAATAATGGGAATAATGATAGCAACAGCTAGAATAATAATAAACAAAATAATAAACAACCTGATCTGAATTCTGAGAGCAAAAACCTGAATCTATCAGGGAGAATGAGCCRAGGGAGGCGGCTGCTCTGGGGATATAGAAATAGGATATGGAGCATCCAGGAGAGGGGCTGGAGTTTGGGAGGAGCAGGGCAGAGTCTGAGAGATCATGCAGGATGAGCAGTCACCACACAGCTACATTGGGTCAGAGGGAGAAACAAGTGGGACAATAAAATAACATTCCTGATAGTAATTGTCCAAACCAAGGTGGTACAAAGAGTCTCAGTTGTGCTGTTTCTCAGACTGGTGCCTGACTTCGCAGCCTGGAAGTTTCTATAAAAAGAAACATCTTTGGTTGGGCAAAGAAACAGAAATAAATTTTAAAGATATTGCCTGGAAAATCTATAACATTAATAGATGTTCTTTGCATTTGAGATTCTTGCTGCTTTGTGCAAGCAGACACAACACACCAATGGAGGTTTAAAACCCTCTTCCTTTATTGATAAAAAATGGGGCAGGCTGTAGCCAGAGGCACAGAGTTCTACCTGCTGCAATAAATGAAGCCTTTGTGCACATTACAATTATTTTCTTAGAGSATTTCCTCCAAAGGCAGAGGCAGCAGCGAGCCAGGTTAGTTCACAACCTGAGGAAAGGAGAAGCAGCGACCAACAAGATTTAACTGCTTCCACATGGACGGCAGACAAATCATAACATGAATGGCACAGCATTTGTGAGTGGAATTGCAGCCGGGATTCTTTTGGGTTCTTTTGGACAGACAAGCGCTGCGAGAATTTCCATTTGTGTGCTTACAGAAAATAAACCTCAGCAGCTGGTACAGAGTTCATTGGTGGGAGTTCTGTATGAGATCAATTTCTAGAACCATTCTCCTGATACTTTTGATGTTTCAGCTTTTTAATTTTCTTTGAAATGTTATGAAGGCTTAATGGCATGAATTGACACATTCATTCCAAGAATGTTCTTGGATCATTGAAATCCAGCTCGTGGCCCTGCACAGGATGGTCCAGGAATGACCAAACCATGGCACAAAGGGCACAGGCAGTGTTTGTCTGAGGAGTGCCAGGGCAGGAGCCTGGCGGGGCAGTGATGGAGCCTTCCCTGAACCCA